TGTGTGTGTGTGTGTGTGTGTGTGTGTGTGTGTGTGTGTGTGTGTGTGTGTGTGTGTGTGTGTGTGTGTGTGTTGATAAAGCTATGGTCAAGTCTAATCTCACTATGCTGAGTCTTTCCTTTAGCAACATTTGTGTATAGTATTTGTTTACTATTTTAATGCTACATACAGGTGGAGGTTAAACCCTGCAGAGCAAATATTGGTCATTGTGAATCATCACTAATAAAGGACTGGCTTATCTAAAGCCAGTTGAGTAGCACTTGAAATGTTTTAGCTCTATGAAACCTGATGTACTTATATGATTCTGTTTTCTTCAAGTTTGTATTTTGTTGGTCGAACTCACTTATTGTATGTCGCTTTGGATAAAAGCATCAGCTAAATGTAATGGAATCACTTGCCCAATATCTGTGCATGTAAATGGTCTGCAAGGGCTAAATTCCCTGTGTTCCCTCCAGAGAGAGTTTACATACGGATATACACCTGAACATCAGCAGGAGAGCACTCTTTAAAGTAGAGACACTACATACTGATATACACCTGAACATCAGCGGGAGAGGACTCTTTAAAGTAGAGACACTACATACTGATATACACCTGAACATCAGCAGGAGAGGACTCTTTAAAGTAGAGACACTACATACTGATATACACCTTAACATCAGCAGGAGAGAACTTTTTTAAGTAGAGACACTACATACTGATATACACCTGAACATCAGCAGGAGAGGACTCTTTAAAGTAGAGACACTACATACTGATATACACCTGAACATCAGCAGGAGAGGACTCTTTAAAGTAGAGACACTACATACTGATATACACCTGAACATCAGCAGGAGAGGACTCTTTAAAGTAGAGACACTACATACTGATATACACCTGAACATCAGCAGGAGAGGACTCTTTAAAGTAGAGACACTACACACTGATATACACGTAGTTGAAAAATGACAAAGAACAGTTCTCATGCATCCAAAACACAAGCCCCCCAGAGTGCGGTTGTGCAGATCTAATAATATTATCTTTTTATTTCTCAAAAGGCTTTCAGGGAGGTAGAAAATTGCATCCATGCCAATAACACACCTTTGGGTCTCCCTGTGCCGAGGCGCAGAGGAAGGTGCTGTGGAATTGTTATGTAAAGCCATGTCAGATCGCATTGTCTAGGCCACACTTAAAATTGTCAGACAGGACTGAGATGAAGAGGAGGCACAGGAGGAAGAGGAGGGTTATATTTAGAGATGCTACTGTGAATAAAGCATGGAGGAAGAGGAGGCGGAGGGAGGAACCCCTGGCAGCAGAGGAAATGTCATGGTTAGGGTTCAGTGAAGTGGTAAATCAGGAGCATCAGCGTGTCAGGGCGTTTAAGGGTGAGCTGGAGAGGAACAAAGAAACGCTATACGATCAGTTATTGGCCCGGTGAGCAAAGGGAAGGGAAGAGTAATACCTGCACTCTGTCACAGGGACTTAGAGCTCACACAACACATGCAGAGTGCACCAGCCTTTGTGCTGTTGTCCAAACACATCTCACATTCAGGGACAGCTCCTTGAGAGTCGCCCGTAGAGGGATATTCTGTGAGGTAAGCAGAACAGCAAAGCGCAGCACAGCAGTGTCTCCAACAGAAGGCTTTTATTTGATACAATAAAACCAGCGAGCACATAAAAAAATGCAGATGTAAGCCCATAAAGGGCGTCGTAGGCACAAAGACGTGTCAACAGATCTGCATGCATCCATAAGCAAAGCTGGAGCAAGAGACCCCCAGAACCTCGCTTCCTTTGACACACTGCTTTTAGAAATAATTTAAAAGTAAAATATGTCGTCCTCAGTGAAATTCCTTCACTGCTGAGAGCTGAAACAGCGTTACTGAAGCAGCCGCCTCTGACTGATGAAATCTGAAGCCTGATCATGCTCAACAGCAAATTAAATCACACAAACAAACACAAATTAAATCACGATTGTTAACTCATTATACCCGAGGCCACACATTGTTATTCCTGTCAGACAACTTGTTCGAGATGTAAAGGCAGCTTCTTTTGTTTGTTTGTGACTGTCAGTATACTAGTAGAAGAAGAACTATTGTATATTCCGCTAACAGAAAGCTTGAAAGTTTTTCTTTCTCACAACAAAATGGAGCTATTGTGCTCGGCGCCCCGGCTGAGGAAGCCTACCTGCATATCACTTGTTCAGCACTAGACACCACAAATACCAACGTTTGAAACTAAATGGTGTGCAAAGGCTAAAATCCCCGTGTGCCCTCCGGAGGGGGTTTCTCTCCCACACACACCTTGTATGTTTCTCTCACTCTCTAACCTCTATTGTTCCAGTACAAATATGTCAACGCTGCCCTGTCCTTTAAACAGACACAAAGTCATGGTGCCGCTCATCACTCAGAGGACGGCTGCTTCTCGTTTCCTTGAAGGAGGACGGATTACTTTTAACTCGAGAGCCAGCGATGGTTTGTTCCATCTGTCCTCTTTGGGACCAAAATCCTCTAACTAATATGCAATCCCTACATGTAGGCCAATGGATTGTGATAAGCACACTTAGCCAACTGTGAGCACATTTGAGGATGCACGAGAATCTGTGGAAGAGTAAACATTGTTGACTAGTAATGTAATGCACTCAATGCAACAGTATCTTGTTGTTATTTATTTGATTTAAGTATTGCCAGTTCTACAAAACCCATATTTGTACACAAGCTATCTGTCAGTATACACAGCTTTCCACTTTAACAATACTGCACATATTTATTTAGTATTTTGTTATTGTCGTTTTTGGTAATTTTAGTCATGTCATTTGTCCAAATCCTATGAGTATAATACATTTGTTTATAGTATTTTTTAATAGTTATTATTTTGTGGTTGTTCTTCTTACCTTGTATCTTCTTTAACTGTGTTTTTGTATGCACCAAGACACATTCCTCCAACCTAATGTGTCTGATTCTTTCCTTTATGCAGATTCAGAGAGGTTTATCTTCCCAAAACTCTACAGATATATACAAATATTGATGTGTCCGGTTCACAGCAGCATGCAATGTCCCTGTCCAAACTGATGTCCCAAGAGAACATCAGTGTGTTCCTCAGAAAGCCGAGCTGCTGTCAGTCCAACAGAAACACCTGCAGACAGACACATCCATAGAGCCAGTGGAAGTTAGGGAGTACTTTAACTTCTAAATGAAGTGTTGGAAGACACTGACATGTGAAAAGGAGGAAAGAGGATGCTGGGAGATGGAGGATAGCTGACCCTTAGGGGTGTCAAACATACGTGACAACACTTACAAACATACCTGAGGGACAAAACTGGTCTTTAAACCGCAATATTCTCAACTTTGATATCTTTTGTATGTACACATTTTATTTACATGGAGGGAGTAACGACCCGTCCACACAGCAGCTTTAAAAAAATCTTGAAAATCTTGGAGGTGGGCGTGTCGGAAAGCTTGGGGATTTTTTGCGAGCAACGCGACCAACAACCAATCACATGAATCTCCCGCCCCCGACATACAAAGCAAAAAAAACCGGGGATTTTATGCGAGCAATATATATATATATAAACTCCCCAAACAGGCGAAAACCTACCAGTTTCACCCACTGTCTCTGCCACCTCCCTCCATGCCTGGTTCCTCCGGTTTGTATCCCGGTAAATAGTTCTGGTCGTAAAGAACCGGGTGATTTGCTACCGTAATTTCTCGTTTGGAATATGAGGAAATGAACTGCGGTCTGGCTCTCCCAGTTTGCGCGCGGTTGGATTGGCTAGCGCTTGAACTGTCAGATTTGCATAAACGGGATTTGATTGGCTGAGGCTTCCAGCTCAGCTTCAAAAGTTGAACATTGCTCAACTTTTGAATCCTGAAAATCTTCGCTTTGCTTCCCCACAATGCAGTTCGGCGAAAAGCGAGGCAAAGTGACGTCTCCCCCATTCAAAGTGAATGGGCAGAGAAGCGTTGGAAGATTTTTTTAACGCTGCTGTGTAGACGGGCCGTAACTGGACCTTCTTCCTAAACAGTTCCCACTTTAGTGTTGTATGCAGGTGTGATACTACACAGGTGTGGGAATGAATGTCATTTCTAGATCCTGACTTTATCACCAAGTAAAAAACGATATTGCTCAGTTCCAGATACCGGGGACTAAATGTTGTTGTAGTTACTCTGTTGTAAGGCAGATGTGTAAATGGTAAACAAAAACAGTTGCACTTATCTTTCATGAGAAATGTCAGGTTGTTCCTAATGTTTCGTTAAAAGATAGTTCGTTAAATGTGAGCTTTTCAGAATGTATGCAGCAAAACAAAGGGAACCATTTGTAGTTTATTATGATGTTACTGCTCAGACGCTCTGGAGATCAGATTGGTCTGAATGTGGCCCCTGGACTAAAATGAGTTTGAGACCGCTGCTTTAAAACACGAGGTAAACAGTGCAGTGTGGAGAACAGGAACACACAGCAGTAACAGCAGCGTCCCCTCACACCTGCGCAGGGACAGTGTGTGCACGCATGCATGAGAGAGTGTGTGTGCAATTACATTTGTATTACGCGTGTCAATGACAAGATTGCTGTGAGAGTTAATTGAGCCTCGTGGAGGGTTTGAAAATGTAAACGCATAATGTAAAGCACTCTAATATTATTGAAATGCATTAACAATTTCACACGCTGCTTGAAAATGAAGCCCACACACACACACACACACACACACACACACACGGAATTCCCTCACTCAGTGCCTCCTCCTCAAACTTTCTGCGTACCACCCCCCCACCACCACCACACAAACACAAACACACACACACACACATTCTTGACAAATACGTAATGAAAGCACGCTGCAGGAATCTGTAAAGCTACATCACTGACACACCAATCTAAGCTCCTCACAGAGCTGCACAATCTGAGGGAAATAATTCCCACACCTGCAGTAATGCAAATCCCAGCATCCAAACACACACACACAGCTTTGAGCACATCAAAACACTTCCATTGTAATTGTCTTCTCGCACTATTTTATTGTTTTTTGAATGTGTTATATATTATGTTGCATTGTTTGAGATTCCTGGGGACTACTGTAGCTACTGTGCATATCACAATAAAGCCTTTGAATCCACACACACACACACACACACACACACACACACACTTGCACGTGTGTGTGCACCAGAAGGACGTGCACTGCCTCTCTTTCCATCTCACAGTCCAGCAGACAGAAAGTAAATAGCGGTTGCGTTCTGCAGAAAATAAAAACAGATACTTGTGTGATGTTGTTAAAACCCTCGGCTTGTGATGCTGAGAGGAGGCTGAAACTGAGTCACACATACCTCATCTTTCTCCCCCTCTGTGGCTCCTCTTCTCCTCCGCTATTCCTTCACGTTTCCTCCATCCCTCCGGCGTTCATGTTTGCTCTTATCCACTCTGTTTGCAGTCCATCTGTCTCCCCCTTTCCCTCTCCCCCTTTCCTCTCTGCTTTGTATCTTTTTCTTTTTTCTATCTCCCTTCCTCCCGTGGATTCCTGGCGTTCACGTGGGAACCGTTTCAACCATCCTGCTGCCTCGCTGCTGTCTGTAAGTGGAAGTGAATGGACAGGAGGGGGAGCAAGAAGACAAGAGTGAGCAAACAGCCAGTTATCCTCTCACTTCCCCCCGTCTTCCCTCTCTCCCCCTTTCTCTCTGCGTCTCTCCATCATGACCTCCCCTCTGTGTCGCCATGCAAGCCCCTGTATCCTTGTGAGGGAGGGAGGGAGGGAGGGAGTAAGAGGTGGAGCTATAGTGAGTCGGTCTAATTAAAAAGCAGAGTATGTACAGCTGCAGAGAGTGGAGGAGGGAGGGGGGGAAATGGATCCAGGGGGCGGGACTAAGGGACAGAAAGGGGGAGGAAATGAGCGGCGATTGAGAGGGTTACTTTAAAATGTAATCTGTTACCATAACTAGTTACATGTCCAAAAAGGAATAATAAAGGGACTTCAAAAAATGAAATCTAATTATCAAAATACAAAAGTAATCTGATTACCTTCTTTGGATTACCTCAATATCAAATGCAATGCAAATACAAATAAGATAAAATAAATAACAATATGTTTTACTTAAGTGCATTTAACCTCAGGTATCTAAGTGTTGCTATGTTTGCCTTGTAATGAAATGATTTCTTAGAATGCAAATACAAAAAATACACAATAAAAGAAGTAACCAAGATATTTCATATCAGAATCCCTTTATTCGTCCCACAGAGGGGAAATGTGCAGCGTTCCAGCAGAAAGAGCCACAGACAGCTTAGTGTTGCATATCTTACATGCGTTAAAAAAGTACTAAGTTATAATATAATAAACAATATGCTAAAAAAAAAAGAAAACTAAAAAAGTTACATAATTTTCAAAAATACAGATCAAAAACAAATCAAATCTACAAATCAAATCCTGTAGCAGTTCTTAGGATTTAGCAGCCCGGTATATATTACAGTTATTAAAGATGGCATATGTATATAAAGTATATAGCACATGAAGGTATTTAACAGCAGCAAGTTACACAATCTACAAAACACAAGATACACAGTAACAAGGGTTTAGCAGCCAGGTATAAATGACAGTTATTAAATAACTGTCATTTATACCTGGCTGCTAAACCCTTGTTACTGTGTATCTTGTGTTTTGTAGATTGTGTAACTTGCTGCTGTTAAATACCTTCATGTGCTNGTGCACAAACTTATCTCGTGCCCTCATTGGTCATGTGCGCGTTCGTGTGTGTTGGGGGAGGGGCTCTGGAAGGAAGTGGCAGATTTTTTCCGGTTGTGTATTTTCAAATTCTAGCGCACTTGAGCTGGTTTCTCCAAAATTACCTACCCCACCTTTTAAGAGAACATTTCTTATGTCTTTATTAAACAAGAACCACGCATGAAAACACCTTAAAGAGGCCTTAGTCTGCTGTAGTGTTTTATATAGGTTTTAGTGCATGTAAATGGTCTTCTAAGGCTACAATCTCTTTGTTCACTCTAGAGGGAGTTTCTCTACCACACTCTACCTAAAACCCCAAAACTCCTTTTGTTTACTTCAATCAAATAATGACATCACTTTGTAACACTCACGCTCCTATAGAGTGCCACAGTGACGCGTCCTAAAACCCGGAAGCAAGGTAGCATTTTACCACTTCCGGTTCCTTCGACAAAAAACGATCTAATCGATAGGTTTATGATTAGAAAATGATAAAAGTAGGGTAGACATGTGGAGATTACCCGACTGAATAAAACTTGATCCGTCTCTTAAATGCGTCTCAACCACAGACCTTATTTCCAGCTATTTTCCAAAATCCTATGGAGAAATTTTCTTTGGTTTTTGTCGAGGGAACTGGAAGGAGTTTACTTCCGGGTTTTAGGACGCGTCACTTGTGGCACTCTATTGGCTAGCGCTCCAACACATTGTACGTGATAGGCTAAGGGGCGGGACATCTCTAAGTGGTGGACCAATCACAACAGAGTGGGCCAGCTAACCAATCAGAGCAGACTGGGCTCTGGTTTCAGACAGAGGGGAAACAATTTAAAACATAAATAAATCAAAATGTATGTATTTGAAATTCTTGAATGGTTTTAACAGTAACTAATTATATATATACTATGCAATCATATCTTGTTTAATAATTCGACAAGGTTGCAAAATCAGGATCTTTCCGGTATTTAGAAGTGTTTACGTTGAGCGCAGATATTGAGCTCTGACCATTTGCTCGGATCTATAAAGCACAAAACACAATGAAGGAGAAGCAGCATTGTAAATTGAATAACAATCGATAAATCAATTTGTTATTGTCGTCCAGCCTGGACCCAAACCACAGAAACCCCCTAAATGAAAACCCTGATTAATTAAAAGCTTTTTCATTTGCATACGTGCACAACACCTGCATGTTAATTCAGAGCTGTTTAACCTTGCTCTGTTGTCCATGTGTCTCTATTATCCTGCGGCTCACAGTCCCCCCCCCCCATATGGGAGATATCTTTAGAATAACTCTACCTGCCTGTTCCTATCTCCTTCTCCCTCCTTTTCTCCCCCCCTTCACGACCATTCTGCAGTCTCTCCTGCTGACCTTGTTTCCTGTCACCTCACACCACGAGAGACCCGTCATCAGGATACAAAAAAAGAAACTGTATTTAATTACAATTACATCAGAAAGTCATCAGATTACTTTTAAATAAAATATACATTAGATACAGTAACTAGCAGGATGATATATTATAGACATCAGACCCGGCGCCAGAACAAATCTAAAGGGAGGGCATATGATTTTCATGGGAGGGCACACAAAACCGTCATGTGCTTGCGGGCCTGCGGCACAATAACAGCAAGGCCAACAGCATTGCGTAAAGACGCACACTTATCGCAAATTCATACACAAATAAAGGGCAACATAGAAACCACTTTTGAAACATGGTGTGCGTGACAGCACAAACACTGGTAAATCACGAGCAAGGCACACTGGTTGAGGGTGGCAGCTTCCTCATCGCTGCACTCGGAAATAAATAGTAGAGACGGAGACGATGAACTGTTTAGCCCGTGGTTTATTTTCCTATGCACTGCAGGTGCATCCTTTCGCTCAGCCGAGCTAACTTAGAACATTATTTTGGCCAATTCTGCATCTTTGTGCAGCGTATACTCAAACAGCGATAGAAAGAGCCCACTGCCTGACTCGGACATGCTGTGGAGTGAATCGTGGTCACCTCAGAGAGGGAGTTGGTTGACAGCTAAAGAAGCTATAATATCAACGACAGCTGACACGTAATAACGGTTCCGTGCCAGCTGATCTGCACCAAAGTACTAATTTCCTTATTTGTTTCCTCGCGTATCTGTCTCTCTCTCCACAAACTCTCACATGAAATGTGTTCTTTTGATGCGGCATGCCTTAGCAGTCCTTTATCAGTCTGTAATGCGTGTTTCCAGTCGCAAAAACCTTTGACAGTAAAAGCCGCGTCAGATGAAGACGTATTTACTTTAAACTGTCTACAGGGGAAACAAAAGGCTGTGTCTGCTTTTAACGAATACTCAAGCCATGGTCTGTTGTTGTACCATGCAGTGGCAAAAGTGTGCTTCTTTACTGAAAACAATCTCCCTGGATAACGATCCAGTTTCACCTGGTTGGGTTTATTAACCCCAAGATCATTTGGGGCTGTTGTCTTTGAGCGGTTGCTGGCCCAATAGTACCTGTTGATGTGCTGTAAGGTAGCGTCTGTAGTGGAGGCACCGGCACGGAGGAGGAGGAGGAGGATGCTGCTGGCGGGTGTGGTACAGGGTGTGGCGACGCAGGGGCACAAGGAGCTGTGCCTCGGTGGACAGCGTTGGTGGCGGCCGTCTTGATGAGTCAAGGCTTGGGCTCACTAACTCAGCCCCGGGGTTTGCCGAGGTCAAGCTTGTGACATTAAGGCGTGCTGCTGCAACGGCAGGTGCAGGGTCGCCAGCAGCACCATCGGCTGCAGTTCTTTCATCGCTACTTCGTTTTAATAAATCCTTAGACCTTTTAAGCCAATTTCTGATGTCCATTTTGTAATTCAAACAGAAATGGGAGTCTACCGAATGCACAATAAACAAATCCAGAATAGGCGGCAGAGTGTGACGCTGTGATTGGTCTAAATGTAGACGAATCACAAATCACAACAGACACATGCATTTATTTGACGTAGCCTGCAATTTTTTTTTTTTTACTATCCGACATCACATACATGGTGGCATACAAGTTCACAGTTTATTTATAATAAAAAATATTAAAAATGTTTTTTAAATGTTATAAATAATAAAAAATGGTGTTTAATGGGGGAGGGCAGGAATGTCAAATCTTACGTCTACATGTTACGTCTTATTTGTGTCTCCATGCACTGTTAAGTGTTTTATGTTAAATGTTACACTCGGCTGGCCAACATGACCAGAAGTTACTAAGCGATCATCATTGTAATAACCATTCTACAGATGTAGCACTCCAGATAGGACTCACACGGGTGTATCCCAGTCAAAAACCCAGCAGATGCCAGTGGCTGGGGGTGTTGCCAAATTGCTAGAGGGCGTTGCCAAAGTTCTCCATTTGTTCAATTACAGGATTTAACCATGAGATGGCGCTTCATTCACAAATACACAAAGACAACTGGGTATTGTGGAACTTAGTCTGTTTGCAATGTTTGCAGCTCTGCAGTTGTGTTTGCTGAATACTGTAGCATTTCATCACTTATTTGTTATGGTTTTCACAGGCTACTATAATGAAAAAATATCAATATTTTTTAGATCAAATAAAGTATATAGTTTGCTTTATACAGTATATTTTTTGTAATATTGTTGGGGTGTTTTTACACAGTACAGTAGATTGAAGTACATCTATATATACATTAAGATAAGATAAGATAAGATGGACCTTTATTAATCCCCGTGGGGAAATTCAGTAGTTCAAACAGCAACAGGGTAAGATTGAAAAACAGGATAGCACAGATTCACACAGGTTAATANCTTTTATTATGGCCACCCTAAGGCACACCTGTGAAATAATCATGCTGTCTAATCAGCATCTTGATATGCCACACCTGTGAGGTGGGATGGATTTTCTCGGCAAAGGAGAAGTGCTCACCATCACAGATTTTTTCAGATTTGTGAACAATATTTTAGAGAAATGGTTATTTTGTGTTTATAGAAAATGTTTTAGATCTTTGAGTTCATCTCATGAAAAATGGGAGCAAAAACAAAAGTGTTGCGTTTATATTTTTGTTCAGTGTAGGTTGAGGCTAAATGAATAGTGTGCGCACAGAGAGTTCATTCTATAAACTGGTCTTAAAGGATACTTAAACGAGAAAACAGAGGGTTCTCAGAGAAACCATATTGTATTCCTTATTGTTTTACCCTTTTTTATTGTATGTTAAAGGGTCCATGTTATGCTCATTTTCAGGTGTATATCAGTATGTAGTGTCTCTACTGTGACATGTCTCCATGCTTTAATATTCAAAAAGCTCTTTATTTTTCTCATACTGCCTGTGCTGCGGCACCTCTTTTCACCCTCTGTCTGAAACCAGAGCCCAGTCTGCTCTGATTGGTTAGCTGGCCGGCTCTATTGTGATTGGTCCACCACTTAGAGATGTCCCGCCCCTTAGCCTATCACGTACAATGTGTTGGAGCGCTAGCCAATAGAAGCACAAGTATTACATGATGTCACTATGTCAAGGAAGTAAACAAAGGAGTTCAATCAATGCGGGTGACATTTGGGATTTTAGCCTTTGCAAACCATTTACATGCACACAAACCTATATAACACACTGCAGGAAAGGAAAAACACATAATAGGGACCCTTAAAATCTTGCCTCTTCTCTCCCTTTGTCCTGCAGTGACTCCCTGTCTGTCCCCCGCCTGTCAGTGGGCCTCGGCCCGTCTGTCCTCCTCTGCTGATCCCTTCACGCAGCCCTGCGACTACTTCCTGTCCAGCTGTGGGTCTGACAGACTGTCACCAGGCGGCAGGGGGAGGCTGAGGGGTCAGGGCATCCCCGGACATCCACAGAACCCCAAGGAGGAGACAGCATGGACAAAGAGGAGAGGACAGAGTGCAGAGAGAGACAGCAGAGGACTGAGAGAGGAGGAAACCCTGGACAGAAAGACTGTGCTGCTGCAGTATCTCAGGGGGATTCTGGGTAGGAGCCTGCACTTAAAACGTCCCACCATTTCTGTATGAGGAGGTATATTCATATCAAGGTATGGTCTGAATCCATTTCTTTATGTCTGTTTGTCAGAATCGAACCACAGTGCAGGCAGTGCAGCCGAGCAGAAGGCCCGAGGATTCTTCCACTCCTGCCTGGACAACAGATCCATAGAGACAGCTGGAGCAGAGCCCTTCCTCACGCTCATTCAGAAAGTGAGATAACTATATTTTCTTAAATAAGTACTTTACCTCCAAAATGAGTATTTGGATATGAACTACCTGCCCAGTGTGAGCTTTAGTTTGGGAAGAAAGGTTTGTGTTTCTTGCATGAATGAATGCTAAATGAAGGATCACAAGTCTTGATGGATTGAAGTAAAATGATGTCCTGCATTAAACAAAAGAAAATCTATATCAAAACACCAGTTTAAAAACACTCAAACAACGTATGCAGTCAAATCCAAGTCTCATGTATCCAGCTGTATGTTCTCTTCCCCTTACTCGTGTTTTAATAGTAATGTTTTAGTAAAAATGCATGTTAGGAAGGAGGTAGCGTACAACTGGATAGCCTACTTTTTCGTTTTGGCCCAACTCATTTTTCTGAAAGATTCCGTTTTCTCACCCTGACCTCCCACGTGACACAGGGGGAGTCATTGATTTACAAATGATCCAATTGGGGGTTGGAATAAACTATTAAAATGTGAGCCTACATCCTGTGGGGGAAACTTCTGAAGCAATTGGAAACTGGACTCAGAGAGGCACGAGGAGAGCTGGAGCTTTGATGGCAAATACTGGTGGTTTATTTGGAGTTACGGCCGGAGAATTCACAAGACAGGTGGTGTGTCACGAGTTGACCACACGGTTGCCAAACCAAATCTGAAAAACTCTTCTGCAGCTCGAGGTTTTATCTAGTTCCGAGTGTAATAATCAACATTCTTTATCAGTGAGACCAAACAAATATGGACCCTGAATCTAACTAGAGCTCTCGTCCATAGGAAAGAATGCGCGCCAGGGAACCTTCGTCCCTGAACAGTAAACTACCTCATGGCGGCTTGTGCTCTGTCATAGACTGGCAACAACAATGCGCCCAAGCTGTTCCTCCTTAAGAGAGATAGCAGCAATACCCAAGGCCATAGACCTATGCCATGGGAAAGGAGACAGTGAGAGGAGAAAATCATGAACTGGGTCGAAGGTTGAATACCTAAGCAAATTATTCCCTAACAATTAAGGCCGAAAGATGTGTTCCATGGTTGGTTGACTGAGATAATATTCCCTCAGAGTTTTCGTTGGCTTTTTCCAGAGCTTTCTCCACATTTCACTGTCTTCACTAGCAAATTGAGTTTGCTCTCCTCAAGTAAATTACATTTGGTGATAAAGGCCATGATATGGGAATTAAAGTATGGGAAAAAAGCTGGTGAGTGGAACTTTAGATAAGTATTATTAACAGTATTTAAGACTTTTTTGTTGAAGCAACACATAGATGCATGAGGCAGTGCTGGACTTGCTCTTATTTCAAATGTGAATGTTCTATTTTACTGGTGGACGATGGCTTCTGGGAGGGAGAGCTGAACGGGCGGGTCGGGGTTTTCCCATCGTTGGTGGTAGAGCTGCTCCACGATGAAAGAGAGGAGGAGGATAAGGAGGAAGAGGTGAGACTACTGTGTTCTCTGTGGTCGCAGAGAATAGCTGAAACTCATCTGACAGTGTATATTTAATTTCTGACTGTCTCCCTCTTTATTCTCCTCCAGTCTCTCCTCACCCCAACCATGCCTCCCTTCTCCCCCTCCAGCCCGAGCCCCACTAACCCTGGCTGTAGCTCAGCCCTTAGTGCTACCCCCCCTAGCTGTGAGGAGGACACACAGCAGGTCTTTGCAGACAACACAGCAGGTGAGTCAAACATTGGAACAGCTAGAGAACAGTTGTGTATTTTCCTCACCTTCAATTCTGATTTCAGTTTTCCCTAAATGAATGGATGGTAATGGTTGTCAGTGTCTTTTATCCGTCAGAGCCTGAAGGCAGCAGCCACAGCTCTCCACACTTCTCCAGCGGCCGGCTAAGACCAGTATGCACCTGTAAAAAAGAGTTCTCCATATTTGCTGGTTATAATTGTAGAAATGGTGATAGTCAACTCTTCCTCTCTTCCCTATTTACTGTTCTAGTGTCGAGCGCCTCCTCCTCCTCCAACACACAAGCGTTCTCCTCAGCTCTGAGACTGTGTGTTCACAGGAATACAGGACGTGTGAGGACCAGAAGAAATCTGTAATTGTGACTTTATTGTAGCATCTAACAAAAACTGTCATTTGTTTGCTTGTATTTGTGAGTATTTATCAGTGGTAAGGAACTTAAAGCAGGAAGACGTGTCACCTCAATGTGAGCAGCAACAATAAGCTGTTAGAAGTCTTGCTTTAAGAATGTAACTGAGTATTAACATCAAAGTATACACAATAATTGTATTTTGTATTAAATTAATTTATGCATTAATGTGTTCATTACTTTAATGTTACAGTCGGACAACAACATGTACTGCTTGTGAATTTTACCAAAGGATCTATAATGTTTATCTTTATCTATATGAACAAGATGTATTATTATTTGATTATATCTTGTATATGATCATTTTTTAAATAATAATTTGATCATTTGAATTTACATTTTCATAGTCCCTTAAGTTATCAGGTTAATGTATTGCATTGAAAAGTAAAATATTTGATTTGTGTAGGAGTAGAAAAATAAAGTACAGTACTTGAGTAAATGTTGCCACTGCAAATATGTTCCCCAACAACCAATTTGACAGTGATGTAATGCCAACATCTCAGTAGAATTATGTTTTCTTTTCAATTTAGTAGATGGGAAGCAAAATAAATGAATATTAACATGAATGCACGTGCTAAAGGTCCAGGGGTCTGCAGCAAAGCCTTATGCAACAATGTGAAAAAGTGCATTTCAAACTTTCAAAAATGAATTAAACAATATTAGAAGTTGCTAATGTTTCTCAATGGTGCACTAATGATAGTATAGTTCTGAAAATATGTTGGGTACACAAATTACACCATAATACCTTATTTATTTTACAGAAAATTGCAGAATAATATGTTCTATTACATTCTGCAAGTAGTGATTTACAGTACAAGTTATAATCCAAAACACTGGGTAGTGTACAGTATAGCATGAGAGTATATGTTATTATGTGACTGCAGGGGCATCCAAACATGAGATATAAGTATTATTTTGAATCTTATCAAATTGAACCATTTTGTTGTTGGCAACATTATTTTCAATATGTAGGACTGTTTTGTACTGGTTTTTAATATCATATATTTAATTAAAGTAATTGTGTTGTGCTTTACTCCAATGGTATGAGAGGAAGTGTGATCGTTGACTGAGCTCAACAAGGACACAGCGCTCAGGTTTGAAAAGCATAGTTCTGGTATTTATTTCATTAGAGTACAATATGATACATCTGCATATTTACAAGTCATCACCAGCATGTGTAGAACACTGTACATATGTGCCAGGTCCTGCTAGAGAGGATACATTAAACATCATCAATCTGAGGATCTAAAGCGAGAATAATATGTGTTGAGCTGTTGATATGAGGACTTCTGTAGCTGCTGGTCTGTGTAATGACTCACATTTCCACATTTTTGTAATTGTCTTTTTGTAATATTGTTTTAAAATCCGAAGGCCACAAAATGGCCAGCTGACCAAAATGTATTTTTTTATGGTCCCATTATTAAAACCATGTTTATTTGCATGTGTTGACCTAAAGTTAAAATGAAGATCCAAGCAACCGATGGTACACGGTAAAGAAAAGCAACATAATCCACACATTAAGACTGCTGCTGGTGTGTGAAATCATGTCCTGCTCGACACTTCATTCTGTTTATAGTTTCATAATAATATTTTAGCCACATTCGATCTCCGTTGTTTTACCATAAAGCCTTCTGATCAAATTTGCTTTGTAAATTAACTAGCCTCTGAATCTAGATCTGTGTTGCACCATTCTCACATATTCATATATACATCATTTTATATTTGCAATAAAATGCACACAGAGGATGCATTTAGCCACTGTTTATAGTGCATAGTTAAAAAACAAAAAAAACATGGCCCTCTTATGCAGATTTATATTTAGCATGTTTCAACTAGATATGATATTGTATAAATGATTTTCCTACAGGTTAATGCATGAGCACTGTTGGAAAGATACACAACAGCTTGTCAGAATAGAATAAATATGTGGATGGTGACGCAGTTTAACTGCATCTATGAAAGTTGATGGATGTGTGAGGTGTTGATGTTACAAACATGAATAAATCATAAAAGGATCTTCATTTACTGCAGAGGCCTGGATAACGATAATGTATATCCAACTTAATGGTATTTTAGACGTATTGGAAGGAGACATCCTGATCATATGTCAAAGGTCACATGGTCAAAGAGTAGATGGAAGATATGGAAATGTGGACATACAGCGAGAGGAAAGCAGACGTCAGGCGTTCTGGTTAATTTCCTATAAAGGACAGGTAAGAAGCCAAATTATGTTTAATTTACTATTTTATCCTCACAGATGTCCTGATGATTTCACTCATTCTACCAAAACAAAACAAATGTAATCAAGTTTGTAAAAACTGCAATTGCTCTTAAATGTTGCACTCTGAACCAAATATTTACATTATTGCTGCAAGCTAAATCACGGTCTGGTTACTGTAGTAGTCTTTATTTATGAAGTGAGTACAGGCAGCATGGACGTGTAATAAGAGCTGGATAAACTGTTGCCACTCAGCCTTGCTTCCAATTTGGTGAAATGGCAATTTGCGGTATTAGAGAAAAATCCCCTGATGGCCTGAAAAGTATTCTCCTGACCACCAGGATAAAGAGACGCCTGTGAAAGTGTTGATACGACATCTCGAAATGCCAACAACATTATGACACTTGCTGAGAAAATATATTTCAAAAACCGTGGTGTCAGTTGTGTGCTATGCTATGGGCCGAGCCAGATCTGGTGCACGTAACACTGCTACACGTATCAGTGTGTCACAATGCCAGGAAGTTAACCCTGAATCTAGGAAACTTTTCAGCGGTGATAAATTCCAATCCATTTGAGTTGGCGCCACCTTTTGGTCTGGTATTAGTGATGGGAATTATGGCTCTTGAAGGGAGCCGGATCCTATGGATCCGTTCCTTTCCGAGAGCCGTTAAAAAGAGCCGTTACCAGGATAATGATTGACTGTATTGTCAGAAATCTAAATTTATTCTTAGAAAAATTTATAACTTGCTACATCTCTCAGCCAGCCAAACTACTACTCAAGCAGCATGCGTTATGCCATCATCTATGGCAAATTTGCATTCAGGAAAGCAAGTTCCCGTAAAGGCGAGTGGATTTATGGCAGGCAGTGAACCAACGATAAAAAGAACGGCTCTCACCAAGTACGACTCGGTTCCCTTCATTCGTACCAGAAAGATTGGATTGTTCGCAAACGTAACATCACTATCAGGTATACAGTTCTTATGAGACATCCATGATAGAGACCCAGTAAAGGCGAAAGGTGAAGGTGTGTGTGTGTGTGTGTGTGTGTGTGTGTGTGTGTGTGTGTGTGTGTGTGTGTGTGTGTGTGTGTGTGTGTGTATACATCCCACAACTGTAACTATGCTAGAGACCACAGCTAAACTGCCTGTAACCAAGCAGCTCCAAAGTTTGAATTTGTCTTTTTAATAATGCTCCAGAATAAGGCAGGTATGATGGATATGGGAGTGAGTTCTACCCTATAATTATATACATGATATACCATATCAATGAAGGGTGCTACAGTCGTCAATGTACAATATCGCCTGTCTCTCATCTGATGTAGAGGCTTTAGAAGTTTGACTAAAAAATACAAAACCCACTTTAAAATCCATTATCTTTTCAGTATCACAGCTTTAACGACTGCAGAGTTTATTTTGTGGAAGTTTCATGTCTTTATATTTTGAGATGTTATTTCCAACCCAGTCTCACGGCATTTCGTGTTATAGTCACGACATTTAATCGACTGATTCGTGTTCACCAACACGATTTCCCCCTTTTTTGTGTGTCACACAGAACGATTTAAAAAGCAATGTATATCTATTGGTAGTGTGTTTCGTGCCTGCACCACGTATTTTTGTCCGGTCGGGCCTTGGAAGACTGGAAGCTGTGTGGTTCATAAAAACATGTTCTTACTCAATATCAAGCCACGATTATTGTTTTTAATTTAAATCGTATAATGTCTGACTTTTTTTGCCGTCCATAAGGAAAAGAAATGGGGCTCCGAATACTGAAATATGTATTTTTTAAATCTTTTTTTTCTTCTAATTTGTTATTCTTTTCTAAATAACACATTATTATTTACTCAAGAATAACACACAATTATCCTTGTTTTTATTTATTTGTTAATTTTATAATATCTGGCTTTTTTCTAAATAAAGTCACCGGAAACAGACGTAGGCGATACACACCATGATACACACCCAATGAACTGATCACCCAAGATCCTCAGCTCCATAGTAACCGAGCTTCAACCATTTGAAGCTCGGTTATTGGAGGTTTTAGCCGCAATGCACGTTGGGATATGGTGTCAATGCGATATGAAATAACCATCAACAGAATTGCGTTGCCAGGCAACAGCTTGGGGTGAAAAAAGTATTTCCGGTCTCAAAATTTGCATAGTAATCTGCAGTACTCATCAACTAAAAACATCAGTTTATTCTTGTTAATTACACAACATTGATTGGTTTAAATTTTGTACAATGCTTTTGTGTTTTCTCCCTTCGATTTGGAGAAACAAATAGTTTTTTAGGAGTTTAGGATGGCCGAAGACACTACACTACCCATAATCCTCAGCTATCGTTTGGGACTACAGTCCCTTTGCTTGACAAACCCCATGATTAATCTTCAAGCTCTGTGATTGGATGTTGGAGTGGCAGTGTGCCAAGGTTAAGCCGAGCGTCAAACAGCTCTATTTAAATGGAATGAAACCACAGCAGACTATCCAAAACTGAACCAGTTTGCAGATTCTGATTAATGATGTGAAATATAAAAAACCCTTAAATCAGACTTTAGTTACACCTGAGTAAAATTCAGGGATATTTCACATCATTAATCAGAATCTGCAAACTGGTTCAGTTTTGGATAGTNCTCTCTCTCTGTGTGTCTCTCTCTCTCTCTCTCTCTCTGTCTCTCTGTGTGTCTCTGTGTGTGTCTCTCTCTGTGTGTGTGTGCGTGTCTGTGGTGTCTCTCTATCTCTGTCTCTCTCTCTCTCTGTGTGTGTGTCTCTCTCTCTCTGTGTGTCTGTCTCTCTCTCTCTGTATGTGTGTCTCTCTCTCTCTCTGTGTGTGTCTCTCTCTCTCTCTCTCTCTCTCTCTCTCTCTCTCTGTGTGTGTCTCTCTCTGTGTCTTTCTCTGTGTGTGTGTCTCTCTCTCTCTCTCTGTGTGTGTCTCTCTCTCTCTCTGTGTCTCTCTCTCGGTGTCTTTCTCTGTGTGTGTCTCTCTCTCTCTCTGTGTCTCTCTCTCTCTCTCGATGTCTTTGTGTGTGTGTGTGTGTGTGTGTGTGTGTGTGTGTGTGTGTGTGTGTGTGTGTGTGTGTCTCTCTCTCTCTCTCTCTCTCTCTCTCTCTCTCTCTCTCTGTGTGTGTGTGTGTACTGGATGTAGACAGTAAGTGTGTTATTGTGCGCTGACATATGAATGAATTATCAGCAGCATTACGATGTCCTCACGTGACATTAGATGACCTGCAAGGCGTGTACACAAACACACGATAACACCCCAACAATATCAAATCAATAAAATATGTATTTAGACACAAACTAGAGCCTGTGTCTCTCAATGAGCCATGTAAACACACACTGTTTATGAATGAGTGGACACCCGGTTCATTGGGTGCATGAGCAGGAGGATATTTCCTCGTGCACGCTCATGTGTTAGCGTGCACGTTCGCAGCCCAATAGTAGGGCAGGGCTAACGCAGGCCGACAGCATGCATGCTTACATAAGCTCTTATTTCTGTTAGCGATTAGCCTCCCTTTCCTCCCTCTTGTATCCCTGTGAGCCGGCAGCGAGCATTAAATATCAGCACCTCTAAGTGAACTTTCTTTGCATTGGATGTGTTTAATCCTCACATCTGAACAGGTTTTTGACACCAACACACACACAGAGGGGGAGACGGAGGGGTGAAGGCGAGCAGGGAAACTGTGCCATTGCCCTAGATATGTTTTTAGAGAGTTATGACATAACCACTGCCTTGTTTCCTGACTTAGCTATCTGCACGTTAAACCAGAGTTAACGGTGCAATCCTGTATCGGTGCCAAATCAGAGTCATGTAATGTGGATGCTAAGAAAACTCAATGACTTCCTGTTATTTTTATATTTTGCAATGGTATAAATATCTGCTTTGAGCTTGTGCTGTATATATTTAGGGAAAGGGAGGGGCTTAGGTCTTGTTTAAAGTAAAGGAAGTGTGTTTACATTGTTTAGGAAGAACATTGGAGGGTTTTTGTTTTTTTTGTTCTTAAGATTTAAGTTTCATTTCAGTTTTTTCTTGCAAGATATCCTGTGATTTGCTGGACACCAAAAGAGTCTGCAGCAAACACTGGCTTATACATGTATTCTCCAACGTAAGGTAGGTAATCGTATTTTAATTGCAATTACGATTTTGGCTTGCAACGATTATGAAAACAATATAATTGAAATTATTTATTTTTGTGTTGGTTTTTCAGTTGAATTATACTTAAAGTTCAGGGTAATCAACTGTTAAAAACATACTGTGCACTTTTTTTTTCAATAAATGGGTGTTTTCAAAGTAAATGGATAATCGTTTTTAATAATCGTGATATCAATTATTGACCCAAATAACGGAGATTATGAATTTGCCATAATCGAGCAGCCCTAATGTAAGGACTGCAGAAATGACAAGGGACAGGGCAAGAGGTTTTCTTGGTGTGTTCTTGCTGTTACATTGTTTTGGAAATTGAAATGTATATTTAATTTCACCTTTGTTCTCGCAAAATGCGTCTTTTGTGTGTGTGTGCCATGAACTACAAAGCTGCATTGTGCATGTTGTATGGAGAGGACAACAATCTATGTATCTATTTCTAGGGATATCTAAATAGTGCCTATAAAAATAAACATATGAACACATCCAATGACATGTAGGCCAAATAAATCAGCGTATTGCAAATGAACCGTTATTGGTGTGTTAGTCTAAAACTAGAGACTGTCTGTAACATTTGTGTTGCTTTTTGAAAAGTCAACTATAAAACTGAACCCCCCCATCATTGGCATACAGTCCCTTACTCCCCTGCTTCCCATAACACTGCTCCACATGTTGTTTTTTACCCAGTATCCTCTGTGCCAGGCAATGTGCAGCACAGTGGAGCTATAAGCGTCAGGACATCTCCACATTTAAATTGGCTTACAGAGAAACAAACAGGTGAGTCAGGGAATCCGTTTACACAATGAGAGGGTGGAAACAACACACAACTCACTGAGCATCCTCACACACCTGCTCACACACTCTCATATCTGCGCAACGGTGTAAATTATTCACCTGATATGTTTATAGATTCGTGCACACGGTACGATCTGCTAACATGTTACGTCATGACTGTAAAGGAAACGTCATTACATAAGAGCTAAACAAAGAGCGGTTCTATGAGGCTCCATCACTCACCGTAGAGTCCGTCCTCTGGTGACTGGGAGCCGGCCTGAGACATGCTGTGAAGCCGGAGCGAGGTGCAGGGAGCCCGGGGAGAGAAGCTGACTCTGACCGAGGAAGAGGAGGAGGAAGAGGAGCGATGGTTTCTGACTTCTCTCTCAAGTCTTTGTGTTTGTTGTTGTCTGAAAAAGTCACCGACTCTGCGCTAATCCCCCCCCCTCCCATCCTCCCTCCTCCCCCCTCTTTTTCCCACGTGTCAGAGGGAGGAGGTAAACAAACCAACATCAGCAGGTAAACAGACAACAAAGAGAGGGAGGCAAGTGTGCCCTCAAAATGTCCCTCAACACATAATCTTAAACACTTGCTTTAGTCAAAAAGTACATTTCTGATTTTCTAACAAATATCCAGAGATTATGTAAGAAACTAAGCTTCCTGTTTTCCTCATGTAAAATCTGACCTACATTTTAAAGGATTTTAATGTTGGTTATTTCATATAATCGCCAAAAAAGAACATAATGGTCACAGCTTGAGTTTATCCCTCCCCCCTCTTTTCCCACGTGTCAGTTAGGAGTGTTGGTGGCGTGTGGTGCATTGGATAGAGCGTTGATGTTTGGATCAAGGAAGCACAGGTTCAAACCCCACTGCAGTCAGCATGTCGTTGTGTCCCTGAGATACTTCACCCCAAATTGCTCCTGTGGGGATTGCCCACAGTATTGAGTATGTAACTCGCTTTGGATAAAAGCGTCTAACAAATGACATGTAATGTAATGTCAGAGGGAGGAGGTAAACAAACCAACATCAGCAGGTAAACAGACAACAAAGAGAGAGAGGCAAGTGTGCCCTAAAAATGTCCCTTAACACACCATCTCAAACACATGTTTTAGTCAAAACGAAATATCAATAATATGATTATGTAACATGAATACTTCCTGTTGTCCTGTTGTTTACCTCATCTAATCACCACAACAACAAAAACAATCCTCTGGCTGGTTTTTTCCTTTCTATTGCGAAACAAAGCAGTTATTGAAAAGAGGACATCAAAAGAGAGCAGCTGGATTGATCAAATAGTGTAGGCTACTATACAGTATTGCACAATTTCACATCGAGTTTTTCGTCAGATTAACTTTTTTGGGAGGAGCTACACTAACACTTTGAATAACGATGTTTTTGTATTATTTAGTTTGAACCTAATTGTCAGTAAAGTGTCATCTGTCATTCTCCTCCTGTCCACCAGGTGGCCTCTGACTGTCTCTCCGGTCACATGACCCCTCGATACTCTGCTCACCTGTTCCCCATTTCCTCATCAGCCCTGCAGGTATTTAAGCAGCTCTTTTCCACTCGCTCTTGTTAGTTCATCAACGAGCATG